AAACAGCCCAAGTGCCCATCAGTAGATATGTGGATAAAAAAGCTGTGGTACAGCTCTGGCTGGTATGGTTCAGTGGGTTGAATGCTGGCCTGTAAACCTAAGGGTTGCAGGCTCGATTCCCAGTCAGGGCAGGTGCCTGGGTTATGGGTGTCCAGGTCCCCAGCTGGGGGCGCTCAAGAGGCAACCACACATTGATGTTTCTCTCCCTTTCTTTCTCCGTTCTTTCCCCCTCCTTTCCCCCTCCTTTCCCCCCTCTCTAAAAATAAATAAATCTTAAAAAAAAAAAAAAAAGCTGTGGTACATTTACACAATGGAACACCACTTGGCTGTAAAAAGAAGGATAGCTTATATTTTGTCACAGCGTGGATAGACCTGAAGAGTATTATGCTAGATGAAATAAGCCAATCAGAGAAAGACAAGTACCATATGATTTCACTTAAATGTGAAATCTAATGAACAAAATAAACTAACAAATTAAAAACAATTTCGTAGATACAGAGAACACACTGACAGCTGTCAGGGGGCGGAGGGTTGAGGGTCTGGGTGAAAAAGGTGACGGGATTAAGCAAAAAAATAAAATGCACACAACAACAGACAATAGTATGGTGATTACCAGAGCGGAAGGGGGATGGGGGGAGGCAGACGGGGATAAGGGGGGTTAAATAATAATTGAAGGAGACTTGACTGGTGGTGGTATACACGCAATACAATATACAGATGATGTATTATAGAATTTTACACCTGAAACATAATTTTATTAAACAATGCCACCTCAATAAGTTCAAAAAAGACAAAGAGTTAATTCACAATATGTCTTGATAAGGTATTAGTAGAATTTTAAGAACAAAAACAACAGCTCTTCAGACAGAAACCAGTTTTGAATTGATGACTGCTGAAATAGTATTTTTGAATGAAACAATACTCAGTTAAATAGCCAACTGAGAAGGGTTTTCCACTGAAAGACTACTGAAATAGTGGCCTTATTCAAATTGCTCATCAGGCCCTATAAAATTAGGTGTTCTATATATTTTCTGCTCACTATTTTCTTGATAGATATTTAATGAATTGTATACATATATCGATATGTTGCTATATTGAGGTAAACTGCCATTTCAGAACTGTTTTAAAATCTGTAGCTTCAGTACCATTTTATACCTGTGCAGTATAGTAGGTGTCTCAGGGCATGTGTGAATGGAAGAACTCATTAACACACAGTGGTTCATAGGCTTGTTTAGGTTTCTGTATTCTGCTTAGAAAGAAGCCTTATTATAATATGAAATAAGTTATTTTCAAATGGTGTTGTGGCCAAGCCATCAGTTTTCATATTCCTTAAGTTTACATCTGCTCAATGTGATCATATCATATCTCCACTCTTAGGTCATGCTTCCTAGAGGCAGACTTGAAACAGGGATTGGGGTGCATAAAGTTAATAGAAGAGATGTCCCCAGGATGACCAGATGTATTGGTGCCCCCCTCCAAGACCCCTTGCCAGGGTAGTACATGCATACCTCAGGTGATGAGTGTTGCCTCCTATTGGTTGACAGCTGCCTTCTCATTCAGAGATTTGGCCTCAGGGAACTATGGCTGATCTGGGCTGTCCTTCAGGGGGTACTGACGGTTGTGCAGTTTGGGCTGAAGTGGGAATCCAGCTGAGGCCACGTTTTCAAATGTCTCTCTTTCTTGTCGTACCTTGCTTCCCTCACTCCCCTCATCCTGGGGGCATTTCCTCTATTAACTATCTGCACCCCAATCCCTGTTTCAAGTCTGCCTCTAGGAAGCATGACCTAAGAGTGGAGATATGATATGATCACATTGAGCAGATGTAAACTTAAGGAATATGAAAGCTGATGGCTTGGCCACAGGATGCCTGTTGTGATCGCCTGGAAACTGCACCAGATGTAGGATCTGGGCTCCAGTTCTGGCGTTTCTAAAAACCAGCTAGCTGTGCAAAGCCCTTTTGTTTCTGTGAATCTGTCTTTTCTGTTCTGCAATATATGGAGCTTAGACTACTCGTTTTTCAGATTCTCATGCTGAAGATTTTCCCTTAAGGCAGGCGGTTGTTTCGGGAAGGTGATTGGCTTCCCTTGATGCCCCCAACTCTAGTTTCTGGCATGGCCTTAGAAGATATTTAGCTTTACTGCTCTGGAATTACAACATAAAACATGGATGTGGCTTTTCTAGAGAGAAAGCTTTCAATATATTTCCTAAGGAGTTTGTGACATCCAGAAGTTCAGCGCCAGTGACTCACAGGGTTTTCTTCTCTTAGCCCTTCTCTTTATACATAGGTGAAAATCTGTTCTAAGAACACTGCAGCCTTTATACATACGTTCATTCATTCATACATACATACTAACACATTTTTTTTTCTATTGTTCCCATATTTCTTTTTCCTTTTGTAAAGGGCAGAGTTTTTCTTACACTTTTCAGTGCCATTTTCTCCTGGACTTGCAGAGAATAACTGTGTGTTGGATGAGGTTACATACTTGATAAATGCTCTTGAAAGGTTGGTGCTATTATGTAGTTGATTCCAAATTTCTTTGTAGTATCATTTCTTCTGATTCCTCTTTGTTTTTAAACAGGGATTGTCATCACACCTTTGTCATGAAGGTGAGCGCCATATTTAGACAAGAGAGGTCAGATAGCCAGAGGAAAGAGGTTGGGGGACCTGTGGGTCTCTTCCTTAATTCTAAATGTACTGCTCTTTGGTATAAACTCATGTCATCTTGAAGATGCCTTTCCACAAAGAAAACAGTAGTCTTTTTTCTTTTTGTCTTTTGTCTATCTTGAAATTTTATTTTGATTTTAACCACGACTAGTGGGTTTTTCTGCTTTTTAGTATTGTGTATATATTAAGTATTTTAATTTGCTGGCTAAGGAGGCTGGGTCATGTTTGGTCATCAGACAGAAAAATAAAAAATAATGAATAATTTAAAACAAGTTCTCAATATTCTTAGGTCTCCTCCTTTTATAATGATTATTCTCTAACTTCCCCATTACTTTTTTTCCAGTGAAAATCCTTATAGATAATATGAACTGCCTACACTTATAATTTGAAAAATATCAGTACAATACCTCACCATACTTATATAATAAAACTATGTATTTCAATATAAACAATTGGCTATGACTACTCAGGAAGGTACAGTGCAGTCACATTTGTGCATCTCTGCCTCATGGCCATCTGAGTACAGCAGCTGAAGTGTAGGTCGACATAGGTGTGCTCTTTCGGTGATTCACATGTCAAAAGCAGTATGGTCCTGTGATACCTAAATTTCAGAAATGGAGCACAACTGTTGATAAAACTAAAAAACAAACAAAAACAAAACCAAACCCAAAAAACAAAAAAAAAAAAACCATTGTGCCTGTAAATTATAGAGTAGCACTTGGATTCTTGGAAAATCGAGTGTATATTAAAACCATTCAGTAACTAGTATTTAATAGGCAGTGATTTACATATGAATTCCATTTTACATCTAATTCCATTGAATTAGAGTTTAGGCTTAGATAATTATGACTCTCTGTTTTTAAGATATTACACCTGGGAGATAGGACAGGTTTCTGTTTCCTTTTTTTTCTTTTTATTGTGTAGGACTAGCCCAAGTGTTGCAGAAAGTGTGGCACACCTTTCCCCTGCAAAAAGCATCACCTCGGTCACAGTGACAACCAAAATGCACCCCCTCCCCCAGCATTTTCCAAGTGCTCCCTAAGCGGTAAGGCCTATTGAAAATCACTGGCTTAGCAGAAAAAAAAATAATGAAACAAAACAAACCATTATTCACATGATAGGATATTACTAACCAGAGCAGCCGAGGCATTACTAATTATTATCTTTTATTGGAGTGTCAAATGGGACAGCTTATAAGACCTCAAATATTTATATCAAGGTGCAATGAAGGGAATTTTGACTTTTAAGTGCTTGAGCAGTTTGGTAGCCAAAAACTGAATCAGCTGAAGCAGTAAACTACAGTGTCTGATGAATTGTAGCACCCTTTTAAAACTTGGAAGAAACTTACCTTGCTGGCCTCCAGAGGTCCAAAGTTCTGAATTTAATGGTCTCATTTCTGAGTGGATATGGTGTTTATCTCCATTCAGGTGTTTTACTTTGTGTATCACAGAGCACTCAGGGCTAATCATCGGGAGGAAGGCGGCTGGGGCTGCCCTTCTCCTTCAGCCTTGCTGCCTTGTCTTCGGCTCTTTTTCATTTGCCAGAACCCCTTCTTACTCAAGCAACTTAACTGATAGATCCTGGTGACAATTCTTAGATTTACGTGGATATACTTATATTTTTAGTGAGGATTAAGCCTATAGCAATATCCAGGTCACTTAAAACCTTGTTTTGAATGGTGCTTGATCAATGTTAGAGTTTTAGGTGGTACCCTTTTTTATAAGTGTGATTTTTACATAATTTAGAACATTAAATACAGTTAAAAAATTAATGAGTATTTTAGAGGGGTTGAAGAAGAGACAATTAAAACTATAGAATGCTTCACCTTTTGGTGGGATCAGTACTAGGTATTTGATAATAGCTGCTTATAGCTCTCAGAATCTGGAAAGTGGTTGGCTTATTTTCCGTTTAATTTTTATAATACATGGAGCAGCGCTTTTAAAATGGTGCAAGATAGCTTCAGGTACAGCATTTGTAAAATATATGTTTATATACACACACATATTTTGAAATTGTGAATCTTAATGCCTTTATGAAAGGCAGATATCCTCAACTGTCTAATTATCTATAGTGATGCAAATGTAATTTTGCTAGCCTGCTGTGAATTTAAAAAGCTGTTTCAGTAAGTGTTTTACCTGTGAAGATGATCTAGAATCCTCTCTTCTCTGTACCTCAGCTCTTTCTCTCTCTCTCCTCCAGGCAGTACTACATGCAAATCATTCCAAAACAATTAATGCCGCTGTAGTCACAAATTATTGATTTTCCGTTCATAGCGTATGTAGAGTGGCTGCTCTACTTAGATTCTAAAATGAGGCTTTTTAATTGTGTTTTCCAGGAAGATATGAATTTAAATGAAGAGAAGAAGGCACCATTGCGGGAAAAGGACTTCAGTATCAAAAAAGAAATGGTGATGCAGTACATCAATACTGCTTCCAAGGCAGTAAGTAAAACTGTCAAGTGGAGAAATACTGCTGAAGCGTGTGGTAGTATGAAAAACAATGCATATGTCTAATGAAGTGCTCAAGCTTGCGGGCAACTGGAATCAGAGGGCTTTTGAGTGTATAATTATAGGCACAAGAACTATACGTTTGTTTAATTTAGAAGTATTTCTCATCTTATAACTTTAAACTGCTTTTGTATTTTTACTACTCATGTTGCTAAGAAACACTGTGATTAGTTGGTTTATTTACTCTTAGATGACTTTTCTTGTTAGTGAATTAATATGGTTATTGATTTCTGTGTCACTTTTAAATTGGGATAATATTTGTATTATAGAAAAGTGAGACTGATTTTCCTCTAACTGCCTAAATCAGGATACATGTGAGTTTTCTTATTGATAAAATTATCTTGTAACAGATTATAAATGTAGACATCAAAAGGAGCATTGAGCCTCTACATGGTTGCCAGTTTTCTGGGGAAACTTGAAATATGTGGGTGGAAGTAATGACTAAATGTCTAAGAAACCATGACTGGCACACAGAATCAATTACATTTATTTCATGGACCGGCAAATGAGCTTGACCAGTCATATAAAAATTGTAAATAAATAGATTAGATGAAAAATATAAAATGGAAGCTAATGAAGAAACGATCAGTAGAGAGGCCATAAAAAATGATTTTGACTGAACTTAAGATCGAATTGGATTAGGGAAAAATAACATACTATAGTTTTCACTGGATACTTTAACCTAAGCCCAGATTGAACGAATATAAGTTATGTAATATTTAACTCCATTTATCTGCTAGACCAGTCAGTGCCTCTGAGGTATTTATTTTGGAAGAAAGACTCAGGTGATGTTTAATTTTTAAACATGTTTCTTGTTTCGGCAGCCTGACGTTTGGTTGTAGAAATCATTAAGCACTGTGATTTCAGCTCTTTACATAGATAGGCTCTGTGCCTGCTATTGTGATACAAATTGCCTTTGTACCTAATGGTACTTGTACATCACAAATTAACATTGGAAGTCAGAACTCCTAGGTTTTAGATTTATCTCTAAATCTAAATCTATTTATTTATCTCTGTTTGATCTTCAACATCTTACTGTACCTCCCTGACCCTTAATTTCCTCATCCATAAGATAGAACTAATACCCGCATAGGCTTGTTGTTAGAATTAAATTGCTTATTCCATGGTTCACACATAACAGATTTTATAACTGGTGGCTGCCTCTGTGGTAGCTGTGGTGGTAGTAGAAATTGTTTGTTTTTTATTTTTATTTTTGTGATTTGCTTATAATTTGTGCTGTTGAAATTATTACACCATAATTAAAAATATAAGGAAGTGTATATCAATAAAAATACAGGTTTACTATTAGTGAGTTTACATTTCTAAGACATTCATTTGTTTACCTGTCATATTCAGTAAGTGTCTCTATGTCAGGCACTATTTTAGGCCCTGGAGATGGAGCACCAAGATAATCTGTCATGGGTGTTATGGAGCAACACAGGACAACACATAACCACATGTGAAGTAGGAGAAAAAAAGAGCAAGGGAGTAGAGCTGGTATAACTATTTTATATAATCAGGGAAGAGTGTCCTGATTTGGGAATTTTAAATCCAACAAGCATGACTTTACTTCATATAATTGCAAGAGATACTATGCTATTTTAGAACTGGTTTAGAAAACCTTGCACTTTAATTTTTGAGTTTCAGGCAATAAACAGATTTTTTGATAGGAGAACAAACCGTTTTGAACTTCATTATAGTGGATCTATTTCAGTTTGCATTCACTGATTTTAAACTTTAATCCTCTAATCATTTTGTAGTGAGGTTGGAATTTATTTACCAGAATTAGTTAATTAGATTATCAGGATTGAAATAGATTAGTTATCTAATGTATGATTAAAGCGTTGACTCACTTAATTAGTGTGTGGAGGATCATGGCTTTTCCTAAGAGGGTTTTGAATAATTTGGCAGATGTTTAACGCTGTAGAAAGTTCAAGCTGACCAGTCATCTATTTTTGCTCTGGAAATAGAAACACATTTTATGAACTCTAGGATACAGACTTTGTCATGCCAGTATATTTAGGTTAATGAGCACTCACAAAGTTACCCTGAGAAAATCAAAATTTATAGATAGGTTGTTTTAGAGAAGATGTGAGGAGTGTGTGTTAGATATAGTTTTGTTATCATTTTAGCCTTAGAATTTGCTTTGAGATTCTCTTTTGTGGGTAAGCATTAATATTTTTTTAGAAAACAGTACTGATGCCTAGTCGATGCTTTGAAAGTGCTTTCGAAGTGTTAACTCTCCAAGTAGCACTAAAGTAGACAAGCTTGGTTTGTAGAAGAAGGGGGGAAATCAGTCAAATTAGGTTATTTTGAAGACCTTAGCAAGTTTCAGCTTAGGTAACAAAATTGTAACACTGAATTTTTTCAGTTTGGAAAGATTATTAAAATCTTATTAAGCAAGTATCAGGTGTAGAGGCTGCAAATGCCAGATTCACGTTTCTCACTTTCTAGGTCATGGATGCAGGACCCAGGTTTGGCCAGCACAAGCTGATGGCCAGGGCTGCTTGGGGCTTCTGAGAAAGGTTTTCCGCCCTCATAAAAGAATCCAGAGCAGGAAAGCCACTGTTTTCTGCCATTGAACAGGAGAGGGTGTGGGTTGCCTGGGATGAGACATCTCAGAGCTGCTGCTCTGGTCCGATGCAGTCCTGCCTCCAGATGCTTCCGTTACATGAGGTGATACATGTTTTTGTTTAAGCTGCTTTAAGTTGGGTTTTTGGCTTTGTTGCTGTGAACATCGTCATATGCCATCCAGATATACTTTTGCCTATGCAGGATCTCTCTCCACCTCTAATTCACTCTGGAGATCACTCTTTCCATCCAAAGGAGCATGTTGCAAGATCCTCCCCTCACCCAGTATCCTCAGAGCACACATGAGAGAGGTAGGTACTACATGGTCCAGGGGCCATTTCTTAGTAAATGACTTGCCTCAGACGTTTGACAGCAAGTTGATTGGAGAAAACTTCTTTCATAAAGAATGACACAGATTTTACTTTTGTTCGATTACTAGCTAGAGGATAAGACTATTCTGCAATTAGAGGTGGTTAGGACCCTGAAAGTAGGATGTGACATGATAGTCCAAATGGAAGTGAATTTATAGTTCCCAAACAATGTAAGAAAATTCTGGAACAGAGCAAAGGCTGTCTTAAGCCACAATTGCCTAAGAATTTTTCCTATTTTCTAAATGGAAGGGAACTAGAATTTAATATACCGATTTATCATATAAATATACCTAATTATGCTTAATTTAACTGCGAGTAGTTCTCATTCTTTATTGTGGTTTAATATTTTTAATCCTTTTCTTTCCTTAAATTCTTAAAGCATCTTTACAGATACTGTTAAGTGATGATTTTTCTAGTCACGATTCTTTTCTTTGAGTGGACAAGCCAGGGTTAGGAGCTGTATCTTAATAGAGTTTCAGCCTTCACTCTAAAACTGCACTGGAAGGAAAAGTTTTCCTTTTCTCTTTGGCTTTGATTTATCGTATCTTATGTCTGTGATACCAGTGTTTACGTTGATGTTTATCTTCTTGTGAGTGCTTGAGTTGTATTTAGGGTGAACTGGCTCAGGATACAATGTGTCTGGATAATATGAACATCTCTCACGACAAGGTTAACAGAAAGTTATGGATTAGTTCATACACAAAGAATGGGTTAAAAAGGACACCTGGATAGGGTAGAATTTAGATCAGTGCAATACCAGCATCCCCCCACCGTTTATCACAAATGATTAGTAAAAATAAAACATTCACTTTTCCCTTTTTTCGTGTCAGAAGATTCTTCTATTTGTTGTTCCACTTTTACGCTTTTACAGGGTAATCTGTGGCAATACAACACTGAAGAAGTTCTGAGAAGCCAAAACATACCCCAGAGATGAACGCAAACCGCTGGAAGGAGAGGCTCCTCGGGAGGGAGTGGCGGTGCAGGGGGCGGGCAGGGAGGCGGAGTTTGGGCGAGGACCCCAGAACCGGAAAGAGGTCTGGTTCCTTGTGTGGAGGTGGGGTTTCAGGGAGAGAGAGAAATAAGAGTTTTTAGGGAAATTTCGTTTGTGCTATATAGCGTTCAAGCCTCTATTATATGTCCACAAATTAGAGGAGATAAACATTTGCTCATCATTGTTTTTGGAGTCATCTTTTTCTTTTTTCCAGTTTTTATACACAGGATGATGAGACCGTCCGGACTGTTTATGTCAGCACAGAGTACACTGGACTTCTACCTCTCAGCACATAGTTATTATTATTATTTTTAATGGTTGTATCATCAGAGGTGGATAAAATGCTTTAGAAATTTCTTTATGAAATTTATACTGCTTTCTAGCTCCTCTGGACTAGCTCGGCATCAAAAGCTCTCGTAGGCTTCCCGCTCCCCTCTTCCTGCCGCGGATCAGCAGAATCTGTATCACAGCTGCAAGTAACATGTTCGTTTTAGGTGGGCTGATATCTAATAAGGGCAGCCTAATTTCACGTTTCTAAGCTTTTTTTAAAAAAAAAAATTGTTTTAAAGCCTTACCTGAGGACATTTTTTTTTAATTGCTCTTTTAGAGAGAGAGAGAAACATCGATTGGTTGACTCTCATACACTCCCTGACTTGGGATCAAACCCACAACCTAGATATGTGCCCTGATCAGGAATTGAACCTCCAGCTTTTTTGGTGTATGGAACAATGCTCCAGCCAATCCAGCCAATCCAGCCATCCCAGCCAGGGCACGTTTCTAAGCTTCTTAATTAGAACATCCTTTATTTCTTATTTATATTTAGTTTTTTTTGTTTTTGATGTCTTTTTCCAGGGAAGGAAGAAGAATCTCTTTTTTATAAGTACTCAAGGAATTTTGCTAGCTTCCTGCTCAATCTGGACTGCAGTCAAGTGGCTGTAAAGGCTCCGTCGCGACCTGTATTGGAAAATTTGGATAGTGTTTTCACTTTACCCTTGAACTCT